TCCGATGCTCCAGTCATTGCTCCTGTAGTTGTTTATATTGTCCAATTTAAAATCATGTAACGGTATTAGACAATTATTGACTTCGTTCATAGTTGAACTAAGCACCGTTGTTGGTTACTTTCCTCGTCGTCATCTAACGTGGTTAGATTTATCTAATCTACTAGATCAGAATATACTTTTAATTTTTTCACAGTGGCACTAGTGTGGTACATTTTCTTTGATTTAAGGATGCATAATAGAAAAGTAGAGCAATTAATTAAATATGGAGAAAATATTAAAAAAAATATTGTTTCAAGATGAAATTGCATTTTCATGGAAATTACAATGTTAATTCCCAATTACACTTAAAATTTACTCCGTTACCACCATTAATTACAAACTACCAAATAGGTAAGAGTATAATGAGTATATACAGTGTTAAAAGGAGACATTTGAGTTTTTTTCACGAGAAACATTATAATATTTGTGGAACTCTCTTAAATTGTAACATGCAATGTTTTATGGAACAGAGGAAGTATTAGTATATGTCAATGTCATAACATTGTATGGTATAAGTATTAAGTAAATGTGCAATAATTGAGTTGGCAAGTCCACAAACATACGAAACTTTTAGTCATTGCCCTTTAATTCTGATTTCTGAACCTAAGTACAAATCTGTTCTAACTACAAACCACATACCCAACTTACAAGCTACAACTATACAGCTGATTCCAAAAACTGGCTCTAAGCAATAATAATCTGCAAGAGAGTAGGATTTAGCTAGCTTGGTCTATGAACTACTCATCTCTAAACAAAGGAGAGGACGAAGATTCCTAGGCTTACACAAAAAAATTGCTCAAAAATCAGAACACTGTCTCATCTGCCCCAGCATTGCTCATCTTCTCAACGTCTTCCTGCGATAAAAGGGTTCTCTTACCACTGGCGCTAGTCTTATCATATGGTTGAGCCATCTTTCGGAGAAACTGCGCAGACAAAAATTCTCTTATCCACATAAGAATATGCAAGGATTGTAACAATAGTTTTGGAGATTATGCTAGTTACTCCATACAAAACATGTAAATAAACAATCAATCAAAATGGCACCTCTCTTGCTATGTGCAAAGCCATATCAGTGCTCAAATTAAGGTAGGCATCACGTAGGTGAGATAATATCCATCCAGGCAGCTTGGAGCGCTTATCATGCCGACTATATCTGCAGAAGAAACCAACAAAGAATTAATCATTTTAAGACTCAGCAAAGTTTTAATCATTTTGGCACACATCCTAGACAACATACAGCACTACAACCATATCACAGTTGAAAACATTATATCATAATTAACAATGCACTGTTGCAACAACTGCTTAATGGATTTTAAATCTGCAAGATTATGGAACATACTCGTTTTTGATCTAAGGTGTGCTTAATTAAGCTTGCTTAACTCGTCAAAAAAAAAAAAAGGGATTGCTTTGAAAGAAATAGACATTTGGAATGCTGTAATTTTGATGTCAGAGCCATTGTATTTAATATTTGGATTCCAAGCATAAAATTATGTTAACAACATTAGGACTGTATTTTCCTTTGAGCAGACCATATAGAATTTTAGGTATCTGCTGATCTTTTAACAAAACAGAACAAAATCAAATTTCTAATTGCGAGTACAGTAACAAACCTTTTGTCAGCAAATATCATCATTCCGTAATCAGCCTTTGAACGAATTACTCTGCCCACACATTGAGCAGCTTGTCTCTGGTAAAGAACAATTGAATTAGTCCAATAGCTAAAAGCAATCAATACACTTATTTAATAATTAAAAACAATAATTCACGAGGCAATAGCAGTACCAAAAGCATCAAAGTTAGAAATTCCCCTTCTTTTATCTGAAAAGTGTCCCGCAAATATTCCAGTCGAGCAAGTAATATCCTGCAATGTAAAGATCCAACAAGCTCAGATTATTCAGCCTCAATTGACGACTAACAATGCTACAAAGATGACATGATCCCACAACATGAAACATATAATTGGTTAATTGCAACTTTGAAAACAATTCAGCTAATCAGATATTGTTTGGTTATCTCAAAGGAAAAGGGATAACCTGAGTTTTAAAAATACAAGGAAAGAAATAACGAAAGGTAATGTAATTGGTTTTCTTGATTGAAATAAGTCATTCCCTCTTATAGTCTTATGCCCCAATGCATGCAAAGTTCAACATCATGTATAATATATGAGTTTTCAGCATAAAACACATGGATACCCTCATTCTTTCTCCAGTTCCCTCAATGTCTTCCTCTTGTGTTCTAATGTCTCTCGTCCCACGTAAAAAGCCAGAGTGTAAACAACACTGCCTTTCATCCATCACCAGGACCGTCTTACAACAGGTAGCACCAACCTTTTTATCCTCACCCCCTCTCTTCCTACTCTTCCACTTTTTTTTTTTTTTTTTTTTCCTGGCACCAACCCTCCATGTTCCTGCCTCTACTCCTGCTTCAAGCTTATATTTGGAATCATCTGACCTATGATGGTTAATTTTTCATACAAGTTCCAAATTTATGACTCCATGGCCATAACAACAGCTAACATTTTATATTTATTACAGATTATTTTAGAGAATTGATGGTGCTATATGCAGTGGTGATGTAGGTTTTTTTTTGAATATTAGTTGGTTCTCATGGTTTTGTGGTGAGGTAAGGGCTAGTGATGGCATGGGGGGAGGACATGAGTCAACAAGTAAAGAGATGGGGAGAACAATGGTGGAAGAAGGGACTAGCACAGGCAAAAAACTAGTTTGTGGTGGTGTGTCATGACTTAAGAAACTTAAAATTAAAATAATAATTACAAAAAGATCAAATTCCCAGGGAGTTAGGTTCAAATCTTAGGGCTTTAGGGGTTTGGATTGGTGGTCCTCACACTTTACAAGCCTTGCATATTTCCTGAACAAAATCACACCAGGAATGAGGGTGAAGTGATATCACAGAATTCAAACAAATGTAAAACCAAAAACTTTGGACGAAATGCCCCCTTAAAATATTACGGAGAAGTTCCCAACACGAAAGACAATAAATACGTTCTTGGTATTCTCTCTATTACCTCTCTCCATCATCTCTTCTATTCTTCCAATCATAAAAAAATTACTCCTTTTATCTGTATATGTTGATCACACTTTTATGAACTTGAAATGTAGAGAAGAAGGATGATTGTGGGAGGGGGTGGGCTCTATAACACTAGGAGGGCGAAAAAAAAAAAAGATATAAGTATATGACCAAATAAGGAAATAGAACAAAGACATGAGGTTAGTACGAGGTTAAGGTTAGCAAATTTACCAAATAACCATCACCCTCAGGCCCTCCCCATCCCCCCCTCACCCCAAAAAAAGAAAAAAAAAATCCATCAATTATGATCTTCAAGTATTATCTATTCTGTTAGTATGGGGTTAAGGTTAGCAATTTACCACCTTGGGGTAAAAAATAACAATCTGCTGGTATAGTTTGCGGTCTTTGTTTCATGCGTGGTGGGGTGGGGGAAGTTGGTAACACTAATCTCCAAACTCATTCGTGAGCATAAAAACCCTGGTTTTTTCTTTCTCTTTCTCTTGTTTTTTTTACACCTTTTTTCTATTATACCTGTTAACAAAAGATCTAAGTTAACTCTTCTACTTCTCTTGTTTTTATACACCTTTAACTTAGGTAACAAAAGATGATTGGGGACCAATCTTGCTACCACTAGGAAGCTTATTTAAAGGACAGTAGTCATACTTATTGCTTTTCTTGGAAGCATTGTGCTGTTTGAATGAATATTAAGTCAGGTAAGGATTTCATAAACTTCTAGATGTACCCAACACATTTACTAAGAGAAAATGAAGTGCCGAAGTAAAATAGGCCACTATGAAGTAATATCAATGTACCCTTTGTTCATATCTTAATGCACCAGTTCTCTATTGAAAGTAAAACTTATAATTTTTGGACCATAAATTCTCATCAGTATATAAGAGAAAACATAGGCAAGTGTGAATCAGAAACCTCTAATATGTCTTTTCCAAGAAATCAGCTTTATAGAATTTTATCAATGCTTAATTAAAGATGTTTATGGTAAAATTAGTGCATCGAAGACAGTGAAAAAGCAAATGGTGCAACTGTTTTGAAATGGGGAAAGTGGTTAGTTTGGACAGTGTGAAAGACTGAAATGTCAGAGTTGGGGTTTTACCTAGTAATTTTTAGCACTGAGAAAAGGTGGAGGTTATGATTAATCAAGTGGGAAATGTCTAGGATGCATGTTGGACAGCTGAGATAGATGGGTTATTATTGGCTGGTTTTGGTGATATGAGGTGGTGATGGAGCAGAAGACTTTAACCTGAATTTTGTAGAACTGATATTATTTTTGTTGAAATAAAGGGCATGTTCCCTTCACCTTATTTTGGCTGAATTGAATTTATTTTTTCTGAAATTAAATATATTTACTGAAATTTAATTATTTTTATTAAATAAAACTCATTTCACTAATTCTCGATTAAATTTATTCTTTTTAATTACTAATTTTTACTTATTAAAAATTATTTTTGCTGAACTTAAATTACTTTGACTTAATATTATTTGAATAAGGTGAAGAGAATAGGGTTTTAATTATTTTTGCTACACTTAAATAATTTTTACTAAACCTAAACTATATATTCCAATTAAAACTTGTAATTATTGATTCTCTATCATATTTGTTCCTTTAAAGTTGTTGATTCTATAAAACTTATTTTTAATGAACTAAGTTAAATTTTGCTGAACTTAACTTAGTTTTGCCTGAACTAAACTTAGTTTTTGAACAACCCATCCATCTCAGCTGTCCAACATGCAAGTAAAACTAACTACTAGTAAAAATTAAGAATGTCTGATTAAAACATATAGATAAAACTTAGAACATGTGAATACGAATAAAAACTTAGAACATATAATTAAAAATCTTAGAACACAAGATATAATATTTAGAACATGTCAGTAATAATTAAGAACATCTAATTTAACTCCTTTAAGATTTTGAACATGTGAATAAAAATTTATAACATACGAGTAAAAATTTAGAACATAGAGAGTAACCTCACAAACAAAAGTGTTATCTGGTAAAGCAGAGTCTTCCCTAAATATATATGGAGGGATTCTCGCAATAGCCTTCCTAATAAAGAAAAAATATGCAATCTGGTGTTGTGGATGCATGCAAAGGGAAAAGTTTTAAATGCAATAGGTAGTAACAAGTTGAAACACCGAAGGGAACAAAGCCACTCACTTGCTCAATGTGTACTGGAAAGGAACCCCATACATGATCACTAGTCTGCCATAATGTCGATCAAAATCTATACCTTCAGCTACCTTTCCCCTGCAATAAAAGTGAAGTATGCAATAAACATCTCAGATTTTATCATAACAAGTCAGGTCATTGTAAACTTCTCAACCTCTTGATTCTGCAACAGAACATACATTAAACAATATTTTGAAAATTTTCTAATACAATACCTTCCATAGGTTATTTATATTCAAAAGTATTCCCTACGTTCTTTTTTATTCGACTCACTTGCAATTTTGTGTGGCCTCCAAAGCACGTGTTTGACCAACAATATTCTTAATTATGTTTCCTTTGCCTTTGTCAAAAAAAAAAAAAAAAAGTTGGAAACTATTCATTGAAAACTCTAACAAGATCACACATGATAATTTTTAACTTGTAAAAAAGTAGCCAAAGACGGACAAAGTTTTTTTTAATTTGTCCACATGAATAGTAAGTAAGTAGAACAAATAAGAACGGAGGAAGTACAAAATTAAAGGTGGTTAATGACTATCTTTCCAAATAATTTTTAACAGGCAACATTTTTCTTCTCTGTCATATATTCTACATGTAAGCAAAAAAAACATGACAAACAAAAACCACACGCGCACGCTCACACACAATCAGGATTCAGTAAGCCTGTGTGATTTTCTATGCAAACTGCCAAACTGATGCACAAGTTTGACGCAAGATTTCTTAGCCAATGTGTACGAACTCGTTAATATGTGTGGTCATCCCCTATCTGAACTTGCTAAACAACCTAAAAAAAAAGCCCTGATCCTCTTCCCCAGCCATGAGCAAAATTTTCAAAGTATCTGATATAAGATGCAACAAAAATAATGATCCTGCACCACTGTAATGTTTGTTACAAAAAATGCAACAAACAGAAATTCCAAATAAAGCCAGAGGATAAAAATCATGAAATATATATGCCTTAACATGATGGACATTTAATATTATGATTGTTTAATAAGAAGAAAAAATTATTACGGCTAGAAAAATCATCAAGCACATCTTACCTTGCAACAGAGAAAAAGACAGCACCTCTCCCACAATCACAAGCCTTGCGGTAGTTGTCTAGAGCCAATGTAGTTTCAACAACATCTTGAGTTTCAATGAATACAAGTTTATGCTGCATTATATCCTGCAATAACAAGGGTTTGAGAAAATATAAAATACCCTCAAATACAATGTAACACAATACTGACATATTAGATATAGGCCATCCAGTATCAACAAATCAAATCAGCAGAATAACTAGATTGAGAAAGAAATCTGATTATGCGATGTATATTACAAAATTCGATGCTCAGACGTCATCTATACCTTTAGAATACCGGTTTCATTCCAAGTATTAACAATGGCATCCATGTATGAATAACTGACAAAAAAACACACAATTCCATCAGGAACAACAGAAACCATTTCTAGTAATAGCCTTCCATAGTTCCTTGCAACACCTGGATCACTTCTCATATCGTACTTTGTGCTAACTGGAAGTTGATCACTGAAACAAACATACAAGCTATATATGTCAATAGCAAAAAAGGCATCTACATGTTAACCAGACTTATATAATGATAACTCAAAATTATAACTGAGGGTACAAGGTCTTTAAACTTCACACAACATTCAATCAGAAACTCAAATACAAAAATAAGATGAAAATCCAAGATTAAACCTTCACCTTCCACGTGTTAGGACCATTGGACATATGCAATCCCTTGTAAAGGACATAGTAAAACTTCGACAGACTACAGGATTGAAATTCAGAAGGCGTGGGTACAGATCTATAGGGCTCAGAGTACCAGAGGTGATTACAACTGTTTGGAAGCGTTCAAATAAAGGCCTAATAGCAAGTGAAGCATCATGACAACTCAGCTGAAAATTCCATTTCAAAGCACAAACACGTATTATAATGAGCAAATAATGAGAAATTAATATAATGATACAAAAGGTAAGCAAATATATATAAGAAAGAAACACCTGACAAAAATTTGGGATGTCAAACAATAACAGAAGCAAAGAGAGGGGAAAGAAACAGTCTTTTTATTGTTTATAACAAGCTGTAAGCTATATATCATATCAGAGTATGTCAGTCTAAACCAACCTGCAGTATGGGGTCAGGGATATGAGGCATTCTCTCATCATAGGGTTCAATAATGATTGAGAAGCCCCTGGCATATGTGCCCACCAGCGTTGCAAAATCACAAATAGTCTGAATACTTAAGAACTCGTCTGTATCAGTTATTTCAAGGGTCATCATCAGGGAATGTAGGCGATCATAACAAAATTTTAAGGTTTTTTGGTCAAGTCCCACTTGTTGATTTAGGGACGCTACAAAAGACACAGGCGACTCCTTTTCAAAATTCTCACTTTGCAACCGGCTTTTGATATATTGCACCAACCTACGCAAAACAGATAGAAAATGCTCAGCTCGGCGAATATTCCCTGGTACTGCTTCTTTCAGAATATCCTCAGGCAGAGCTGGGTTGGAAAGCCAAGTATCGCCAACTGTAAAAGAAAATTGTTACAGAAAATGCATAATGAATTAAACGAAACTTAAGAAACTGCCAACTCTAGACAAAAATAGCAGAAAATTCAAAACAGATGCCTATATAGCACTGACATACTTGGTAAATTTCCCCTTTGGGCCAACCCTTCAACAAGGCGATTATATTCTGCACGTAGTTTCCCAGCATCTGTGGCCTTGAACCTACCTACCACATCAGATGAGTTAATATTAACTCATAAGGAATCTTTCCTTTCCACATAATATAATTCTAACATCAAATATACACAAACTGTAAACCTAAATCAAGATGCAGAACTTTTTCACTGGACATCATCAAATGCAAACATGCAATTTAAGGAACCTACAAAGAAATTTCTACCGCTAATAGAAAACAATTTGTTTATTCAAATATTACCAATATAACAACCACTTACCAATATAATGGTAATGGTTTTCGCAATACGTTTTCAAATTCATTTTAGGATATTAAAATTTATTAACATGCCAATTTATTCAAATTTTTGCCTGATTGTTGCCCAGATGGAAGCGTAAACCAATGTCTGGGAGTCAATTTTCTAATTTGGGTACGTGAAGTGAAAATAAGAGTACCTTGCTGATATTTTCAATAACCTTTCTAGGGATATATCACAGAAAAATCAAAGAAAATGAAGCAAATATAAAAGTACCTTTCGATCTCTTGAGACATCCTAGAAATATTTCTGGTCGCACCTTCAAGAGTTTGCCTTCTGACACTAACACTAAGAGCCTCAATGCACACGTTGTCAATGTTATGAGCCTCATCAAAAACAACCACAGACTCCCGCTGCATCTCTTTTGAAATAATCCCAGCAACTTTTGGATCAAGTAGATATTGGTAACTGTAAACCACAACATTTGCAAATTGCACCATATGGCGTGCCAGGAAATACGGGCACCATCCTTTCTGCTTGCCAAATGCTCTCAGGTCCTGTAAAGTATATACACCTGGGGGCAAAATTGCCTCTGAACCCGACTTCTCGTAATCCTCAAAAAAGGAGCAAGTAGGGATATTAGGATTTTCTACAGCTAGAGCTCTAACCCAGCTCGCTGTAAGCTTCCTACAGCCGGCATCAACAGAGTCTCTATTTTCAGCAGAGACAACAGCTGGATTAATACAAAGATTTTTGCGGGAAGAAAGCCCAAGAGCAAGGAGCCGAGCTGAGGGACCCAAGTGGAAAACCTGATAGTCATGGAGTACCTTTAGCTCAGCTAGTGTTTTTTCCATTTCATGAACCGTACGAGTGCAGTAGATGAGTTTAATAGGATTTGATGGTTTTGAAAGAGCATAACTGGTAATGAGAGATAAAAGTGCAATAGTTTTCCCAGTGCCAGTGGGCATCTCCAGCAAACAGTGGCCCTTTGCATCAAGGGCTCGTTTGAGTTCAACCATGTAGGAATATTGCTCTGGATAAATGTTATCATAGGGGAAGTAGACTGTAATGTCTTCTATTTGGAACTTCATGCTACCCTATGCAACTAGTGGCGGCTCCAAGGTTAGTTCCACTTGGTTCAACTGAACCCCAAATCTGATAGTTTAATCAATTTGAATCTTAAACAGTTAGGCAATAAAAGAATATAAGACAAAGATTATTTATATGACTAGTGATTGTGTTCGATGTCAGGAAAAGTTTGGAGGGATGAAGTGACAATAGTGGTTAACGGCCAAAAAAAAAACAGAGTAGGAAAAACAACACAAATTTTATTATCGTTCCACAAAAAATAATAATAGAAAATCACTTCCAACAAACAAGAAATAAGACTCCCTCTGTTGTTTTTTAAGTGACACATTTTCCTTAAACCTTTGTTTTTTTAAGTGACACACTTCCCCTTACTGGTAACATTCTACAAATTTTTTTTTTTTCTCATACAGAAAAAATGTGTTATTTGCTAACTAAAGACTTAGAGAGGGACTTAGTTTCAACAAGCTAACACGCTAAAATTAGATTTAAGATGGATGTTTTCCCTGATTCTTCATATCACTACAATGAGTCAGACGGACAAAAAGTTTGGCACGCAGCACAACAAGATCAATAATATCAACCTTTCAATTGTCTATCAAGTTACAATGGGAAATGTACATTATACACTACAACTTGCAAACATAATCCCCATTTCAACAACATATTAAAGGTTGCTTTCCCTGATTCTTCATATCACTACGCAGGCCCGTCCCTGAGGCAGGGCAGGAGGGGCGGCCGCCCTAGGCCAGGGAAAAGAGATTTAATTTCATATTGAATTATCTCGAAAAATACATAATTTTAGGTATATTTTGATTCAATAATCAAATTACGCTCATAATTTTCTTTTCTTTTGGATATGATGTTTCATAATCTAAGAATTTACGAACCCTAAACTTAAACACTGATAATTAAATTAGATTAGATCAAATATAAACCCTAGATTGTGAAATTGATGTGATGGTAACAACAACAAACAACTTACCTTAGAAGCTGCTTCAATGGGGGATACAAGAATTAGATTCAACGGAGAACGCTTCAATGGAGAACGTTGAGTGCGCTTCAATGAAATAACTCAGAAAGGTAGGAAATAGGAATGGAGGCTTTTAAAAGCCATGACCCGCCATAGTTATAATATGGGTCTGATAAATAAATGGGCGGATCTGATTGTCTAATTATGACACAGGTGGGTTTTATAAAGGTTTTAAGTAAATATGTTTTAAATATCAATAATAATAATAATATATAACTTTATTATATTATTATTTATATACTAAAAGACACACCAGCAAATGACACGAGTCATTTCTTGGTGTATCCTTAATTGTTATTTTTTTTGAAAAAAATAAAATCAATCATAGAATAAAATCTTGTACGAAAATAATTTATTATATATGTTAATAACAAAGATAATTACTTTAAATATATAAGATTTGATTTACCTTTTCACACAAACATTTATGACTATAATAGAAAATATTAATATGATTTACGACATATAATGATTTACTACACGAGAGTATTTATATTTTTTTTTCCGTAAAGTTGTTTATTTATTGATTAGAATTTACAATAGAGTAGTGCATATACTTTTACTACCCTTTGAATGATAATAACCCCGCTCTTTCCCTTCTCTAAGTGAAAATGAGTTACTGTATTAAATTATTTTATTTTATTTATAGAAACATTACTATTTACTACCTTAATATATAAAAATTAGTTAGACTATACTTCATAATATTAATATAAATACACATAAAAATCTCATGAAAATCAATATTACAGTATTATTTATTGCCCTCATCCAAAACATGTTGATACTATATATAATCATATATTTGAATACAATATCTACACATCAATATTTCAATTACTTAATAGACGATTTTATTACTTTGTATTTAAGAATATCAAATTATTTAATTTATACTTATTAGATGTATCCACTTATCTTTCACATTTTAATCAAAGATTGTCCATGTGTTTTTAGATTTTTTTTTTTTTTTGTTTTATTGTTAAAAATAACCAATTATATTGAAAAGTTGATATTAATTTTTTAAAATTGTCGTGCATTGCACGAGACCTAACCTAGTTTTTAATATTTCCATATACCAAAGCTTGTATCAATTATTTGTAAGTTTTTTAGATTTTTTTTTTTTTAAAAAAAACAGCTAAAATTACACTAATTAAACTGAGTTTACAACAAACGAAAGGACAGTAAAGTAACATAAGTTACTATTGGCATAAGAAGCCCTTACACAATACCAATTAAGGTCATTAATGATATTTACCTTTAAGCTATTACAACGAGTGAGGACAGCGCATAATAAGGCTTAGCAATATACATTTAAACATGCGATGGGACTATTGATAGAACAAGGGAAGTTGGTGATGATGTTTCGTGTTGTGCAATGTATTTTCTAACATACAACTAAAAGTCTATGAATGTTGCTGAAATGACGGAGACAACCCAAAATCAGTATGCCTTACCCTAAGGGACCCCAATAATTCAAATGAATAAAATTTTCTTGAGATCTATGCTTCATACATGTCAATCACATTTCTTGCGATCTAACAAAACCATATCTTATGGGAGTTGTTAAAAATCGCCCACAATTTTCTACTTAAAGCCAAAAAATTTTAAAACTTTGACACTTTTTCCCTTTTTTTAATTTTTACCCAAAACGAAATTTTCTCTCACCAAAAATGTGGAGCAGCACTAGATCGCCGAGGGACACCGAAGAGCCGTCATCGTCAGCGAGATCCACCGGAGAGCCGTCATCGTCGCCTGAAAACGAGGTACTTTGCGTTTAAAAATTACGAATTGATGGCGGACATCTGGCCAGGACGCCGTCGTCGTGGGTGTGGCGCCTGGCCGGGACGCCACCACTGTGGAGGTGGCGCCTGGCTTGGACGACGCCACCGTGGCTAAGGCGCCTGGCCAGGACGCCGCCACCATGGTAGTGTCGTTTGGCTGGATCGCCCTAACCATGGTGGCGGCGTCCTGGCCAGGCGCCCCAGCCACGGACGGTAGCGGCGTCCCGGCCAGGCGCCATCGCCACAGTTATTTTTTTTTTTAATTTATTTAAAGTTTTGGTTTTTTTATTATTTTTTTTTTTAACTTTGATAAATTTGAAATTAAATATGTGTTAATAATTTTTTTTTTTAAAAAAATAAAATTTAATTTGAAATTATGTTTTAAATATGTGTGAATAATTTATGAAAAAAAATAAAATTATGGTTTAATTTGAATTTATGTGTTAATAATTTCAAAAAATAAACAAATTTATAATCTTGTATGTGTGTGAATACTTTTGTATATAATTACGTGTTAATTTTGTGTTAATTATGTGTAAATTTAGAAATTTAACGTATGAAGCGTTAAATATAGAAATGAAATTTAGAAATTTAAAATTTAGAAATTACTTATGTGTTAATTTTTTTTTTTTTTTAACTTTGATAAATTTGAAATTAAATATGTGTTAATAATTTTTTTTTTTTTAAAAAAAAACAAAATTTCATTTGAAATTTAAATATGTGTTAATAATTTCAAAAAATAAACAAATTTATGTTTTAATTTTGTATGTGTGCGAATACTTTTATATATAATTACGTGTTAATTTTGTGTTAATTATGTGTAAATTTAGAAATTAAATGTATTATGCGTTAAATATAGAAATGAAATTTAGAAATTTAAAATTTAGAAATTACTTCTGTGTTAATTTTGAGTCAAATGTATTAATTTAATCCTTATGTATTTATATTTATATGTCATTGTTGCAGGATTATGGTGGAGACGGAAATGATTATAGTGGGATTTTTGTACATGATGATCCGTTCGAAGATGCTCAATAAGCGATTGATTGGGCAAAACAGGTTGCAATTAGATCAGGTTTTTGTTTAGTAGTAGCAAGTCATAAATCTCAACGGGATGATAGAATGGATCACATTTTGAGATGCGATCGTTATCGCAAAAAGGAGGAACGAGATTTCAGTCAAGCGATTCGGTTTGATACAAAGCGGAAAGGTTGTGGGTGTTAGTTCAGAGTAAAGGTTCGACAACAGCAAAGTTGTGACGGTTGGGAAGTGAAGGGTTACGGTAAATGGGGGTATCACAACCATGAGATGATAGTATATGAAGTGGGTCATCGACAGTTAAGTGACCTAAGTCCTGCTGCGAAACTAGTTGTAAAAGAAATGAGTTATGCTCAAGTGAAGCCTGCTAAAATATTAGCATCTGTGTTTGATATACGTGTTTTATACAATGGTTTTCCCCGGTTTTACTTAGTAATTTTATATGGTTTTGAGCTCTACGGAGCCATTTCTTGCTAACAATCTCTTCTTTAGTGTATTCGATTGTTTTAGTAAGCTTTTCAGGAATATGAAGCGTTTCTAGGCAATTGGACGTGTTTTTAGTAGATTCGGAAGAGTTGATAGCCAAGAACTGCAATTTATGTGGAGTGCCCGACCGGGCATGGCTTGCCCGGGCAGACCGGGCAATGAGGAGTTCACAGGAAGAAGCCCAATTCTGAACGGTGCAACGCGCGCCCGATCGGGCAGGCTTCGCCCGGTCAGACCGGGCGATGAAGAAATCAAGTTATGAGATGCAATTTTGGAAACGTGTTTACGCGCGCCCGACCGGGCGAGGTGCGCCCGGTCAGACCGGGCAAAGAAGGAAAACTGTCGTATTTTACGCAGCCTTCCTCCGCCCGATCGGGCGAGGTCCGCCCGGTCAGACCGGGCAAAGCTCAAGAACGCGTATTTTCTTATTTTTCCGAAATATTATCTTTTGGGGGTATAAATACCCTTTTGTAATTAACTTTTAGACAGTTAGTTTTTCATTAGTTTTCTCCTTAAGCCCTAGAAAACTCTCAAGAACCCTAGTTTTATTTTCTTAAGCAATTTCAATCTTTAATCCTAGTTTTATTAATTGTTCTTCAAGAATTCAAGACCATCAATTGAAGTATTTGGTATTTCTTACTTTCCATCTCTTTTATTTATTTTATAGTTCTTTAATTATGTGTTCTCTATTAGATCTTGTTTTTGATTTAATTATGATTTGTGAGTAGTTTCCTTAATCCGGGATCTTGCTAAGCCCGATTATGATTGATGTATAAAGTAGATCTTTAAATTCCCCAATAATAATCCCAATTGACATGCTTAATTGATTGTGTTTATGCCAATACTAGATTAGGGATAATTAGTATTGTTATCATCCCTTTGTTCTTATTGCAACGGAAGTTGGGTATTAACGGGATTAGGTTATTTCAATTAAGGGTTTGAAGATCATCACGGAAGTAGATGATTGAATAATTAGGAATCTAGGCATGGTGTTTAATGTCCCTTATTCGCTTGATTCCACGGAAGTAGGCTTGATAGTTAATTTGGGAAG